TGATCAATTTCACAAGAAATAATAATAATTTCGTATTGTTATTGCGAAAGATAAATTTCAAGAAATTACAAAACATATGTCGAAAAGCACTTTTATTGTTTGAGATCTCTAAACTTTCAACTCCAATATATATATATATATATATATATATATATATATATATATATATATATATATATATATATATATATATATATATAAAGTGATAAATTAAATATCCTTCTACAGTTTCTTTCTATTTATCTTCCTATCCCTATGAAATGATGATAAGTGCCTTATTTTGATAAAGTTAATAATATTTTATGTAACGACCCAAAAATCAAGGGTAAAAATTTCATTTTTAATTTAGCTAAAACATTGATACCATTTATTTCAAACATTTCAAATCATCGTTAAGTAAATCATTTATCAGAGTTCATCCCAAAATCATTCATTGCGGAAGTCATAGGTGTGAGCACTGCGATCAATCCGAGCTCTTCTTTTCCAAATCAATGATACCTGAAACAATAAACAAAACTGTAAGCACGAAGCTTAGTGAGTTCTCCAGAGCATACCCCACACAATCCACATAACCACATAATCCATATCAGTTGTAACAACTACATAAACAATATCAATCACCTATCCATATCAATCACATAGCCATGCATATAAACATATAGGGAAGCCCTGGAAACCCAAGATCTTACACCGGGTGCCCTGGAAACCCTCCAGGGTCTTAGCCCACTGTCATGGGAACCCCCACATGGTCTTCACTAACTACCAATCAAACCATACATACCAACATATAAGCTAATCATGCAAACACATAAGGATGCCCTAGAAACCCTCCAGGGTCTTACACCGGGTGCCATGGGAACCCCCACATGGTCTTACCCCAATGCCATGGGAACCCCCACATGGTCTTAACTAAGGATGTCATGGAAACCCTCCAAGGTCTTACACCTAAGTGCCCCGAGAACCCCCCGAGGTCTTCCATGCAAGTATCACAAAGACCACTAGCATATCACGTACCACATAATCAATTAACATACCACATAATCACTAGCATACTCCCTATCACATAACCAGCTAACATGCCACATAATAAAACTTCAGCTAGTGTATCACATATCATAAAATGGACCGATATTGGTGCCTTAGACCCATTGGTATGGTGAGGAGACTCACCTGGCACTGCTGAAGTCCCGCGGATGCAACTCCAGTTGCTGGTTGACAGATTCCCGAACTGCCAACATCAAACAATGCCCAATTAATAATTGGGTTCCAACTCATAATCATAACTCCATGCTTGGGGGAAAAGTGTAACAACCCGAAAATCCTATTGTAAACAACGTTAATTTTTCCGTTACTCGAGGGACTATTTATGCAAAATATTTTAGCTCTATGAGGTTAAAATGGAATTAATTAACTAAAATTAGTATTATTTAATATTTAAAATAATAAATAAAAATTAAAAGGTGTGTAATTTAATAAAATTGATTTAGAAAAATAATATTGGTAAATATAGTTCATTTAATTGGTGAAAATGGTGTTGAGGGGCTAAAATGTCATACAAAGAAACTTAATTTGCCAAGTATCTAGGGTTAGGGTGAGTGGAATACAAGGATGGATGTGTGAGGGGGTTAATTGTAAAAATCGAATGTAACATCCATGGGGAGGCATCAATCGATTGATGTCTACGTGCGTTTCTTTCCTTGGGCTTAATACGTATGTTCATAGTCTTTCTTGGGCAATACTAGCATCGATAAAAAAAAAGCGACCGTGAAGAGAATGAAGGACAAAGGCAACATCGATCTTGAAGCATACACAAGAAGGTAAGATCGACATATTTCGTGAGGGGTAATTAGGGCTGCGAAAATCTTCCATAACACCTGGTAAGACTTGTTTCATTCCTCCTTACATGATTATACTCCAATTGTTGGTGCTTTGTTAGGAATTATGAAGTTGTAATGCATCCCTTTGGTTTAGTTAGTCTTCTTCTTCCTACTCTCAATTCTAGAGTTTATGTATGATCAATTCTTAGCCATACCGGGTGTGTATTTTGATCAATTATGGCTGTGAAAATCCTTCTAAAACAATCCCTCAAAGGTTAGTATTGATGCTCAAGAGTTGGTTGTAAACTTGGGGTCAAGAATTGTTTTCTTGATGTCATGTTTCTTGTTTCTTTTTATCTCAAATGATCGTGTGTAACTTTTCTACATATAAGACCTTGTTTTGAGCCATCAAAAAGGTCCTCAAAAAAGTCCCTAAAAGGTCTTAATGTTAGGCTTAATGGTGGAGAAAACTCAAGCCCTAGTGGTGTTTTCTCTTTTAGCAAAGTACCTTATTTTTCCCATATAAGAAATGTACTTTGAATCATGGCTTGAGGTTGAAATTGTTATTTTAACTCTTGACATGTTGCTACTGTTAAGAACTCGATTTACAAATTTATAGTTGATTTTGGTTGTGGCTTAATGGGCTAAGTTGTCAAATAACCTTTAGAATGCATTGCTGGGAAATTCTGAAAATTTCCCATTTTGCCCCTGTTTTGAAAAAATGTAGAAAAATCATCAGAAGTCGTATCAGTGATCTGTAAACTCAAAAAGTTTTCATTTTAAGTCTACTTTGTCCATGAATTTTTCCAGGACTTGTTGTTACCTCCAACTTAGTTGAAAATCACCTTTTTCACTGACTGGTCGGAAATTAGCTGTACGGACATGCTGCTTTTTTAAAAATCATATAAAATTTTAGAAAAATTGTTTGGACTTTTAAAAGTACTTTCTGAAAAGCTAAAAGTATAAACTACTGGAATATACAAAAATATTGTAAAATTTGCAGTCCTTGGTGGTGTTAAAATGGCTTTGAACAGGTGGCTGTTACGGGTCAAAATTTAGAACTTTGTTCTAAACGTTCGTCTATATGTTTAGGCATTCTACTCTCAACATTTTGTGTCATCTGTTTGGTATTCTCATAAAGTACACAATCTATGTCTTTATACTATCATTCAATCATCTTGTGTGTAAAATTGAGCAACTATAATCATTTACCTAAAGTCTTGGATCATATAGTGATTTTTGGTGAATGTTGGAATTCTGCACAACAACTTTTCCCCATCTTGCGAGAGAGTGGCGGCTGCAAGATTACCCAGCGGCTGCTCCTTGATTTGTTGGTGGCTCCAAGATGTCGACGACCGGAGCAAGGCGGCATAAGGTTGGCGGTTCTCCAGCTTCAGCAGACGAGGGAACAACAATGGGTAGTGGGGGTCGTGAGGCTTGCGGCCGCAAACGAGAGGATGTCAGCCAACCTTTTCCTTAGGTTTAGGGTTTCGTAATGTATATATACCCGGTCACACAATCACATTGCCATAATGGCAGAACTGGTTCCTCCCTATAAACACTTTTGCATCACAAGCCCAAAAAATACTCTTTATACCCCCGCTCCCCCAATTCTTTTCATTTTAAGTCCGAAATTTACCTTTTTAACCCAGCCTCCTGAAATCCTTTACAAATTAAATCTAATACTTACCAAATAGCCCCTTGGCCTCTAAAATCTTTTCAAAATAAATTCTAAAATTACTTTTTAACCCCCGAATGATCCGATTTATAACATTTGGCTTCCCAAAACCAATAATCCCCTAAATAATATGAATTTATTGCGACTATTCGCTCATCAAAATTTATCTATTTATTTATTAATTAAACAGGATGTTACATTTTATGACATTTGTCATCATCTCATATAGGTAGAAAGATAGGTAATAAGAAAACAAGGATACCAAAGGGCTTCTAGCCCAACGGTACCGGGTGTTGCCCTCCCTCCTAGAGGTTGAGGGTTCAAGTCTCATTAGAGACATAGGTGGTATTAGGAGTAGTTTATGAGTAGTATCATTTGCCGTTCTAAAAAAAAACTAGAATGATATTTAATTTCTCATAAAAAATTATAGGCTAGTTTGTATTGAAAGTTGAAAGATATTCATAAAACTAATTAATTTTGATAAAAATATTCATGGGGTGTTTATTTAACAACACTCTAATTTTTTGATATTTATGGTCATTAAATAAGACAATTTTAAGTTTGAATAAATATATAATATCTATTTTTTCTTTCATTTGCACAACAACAAATATCATTCAAAACTTATTTCTATTAATTTTCAAAAAGGATAATGATTTAAAAAAGGTAACATATTTTTCAATTTGTATACATTTGATCATTGAGTTTTTTTTGTTGACACTTGTCCCTTCAACATGTTTAACTGTATATATTCGGTCCTTATGACTTGCTACTCTAGGTAAGTTGGAAAAATGACTTAATAATGTAATATATTTATTACTTTGTACACATTTAGTCTTTAATATATATATATATATATATATATATATATATATATATATATATTGCACATTTAGTCTTTAATATATTTTTTTTATAAAATAAGTTTTTGTTGTTTTTGTATACATTCAATACTTATGATTAGTTTTTTATGTTTTTCTTATGACATCCTACATGAGACAATTATTAATGAAGTATTCGTGGTTGTCGATGTCTATGGTCACCGCGACCTCAATTGCTTGGTTGTTTAAGTCAAATTTAATTCATATTTACTATGTTTCAACAAAATACCGGAGATCAGATTTAATTCATATTTGTTATGTTTCTTTTAACTTTTGTTAGATTTCATAAAGAAAAGAGTATTTCTTTTTTTTTTTTTTTTTTGAAATTTGGCTTTCATTCTTGTATTTTTTTTCCGTCCAAAATCCAATATATATCTTTTTTCTGTCTGAAATCCAATATATATCTTTTATCAGAAGATATATTTTTTACATGACACAATATTAATTCAAAACCAATCAGTCATTTTCATAAAAATAAAATAAAATTTAGATTATTTCTTTATATTCCAAAATTTCATATCTTCATTTTGTGAAATTTATACCAACCTGGGTTGATTTGTATTTTTAGTCCCAATTGTATTACAAGAGGGGTATAAATAGAGGCGTCCTTATCTGGTATTTGACACAAGGAAACAGTTAATCGAAAAGCACGAATTCTTGTGAGCGGTAGAGCAGAGGCCTCCATGTTTCCTTCTACTTCTAGGTATTTGCCAAACACTCGATTCCTGTGCATACAACACGTTCAGATTTAATTGATTTGGGATTCAGTTCAGCCTGATCGAATCATTCATTCGACTGATTCCTTCATTCTGATCTTTATGGGAACCTGATAGATCAATAACCATTTCTGCAAATTATTATTGTTCCTGCAGAATGACGAAGAAAAGGGACCGAGCGAGCATTGATACTGCGGTCGTCGATATCTGCCGCCGTGAGGTCGGCCGTCTTTCAACCCGAAAATTCGTCAACCGGCTCGCCGCTTCAGAGGTATAAATATTGTGATCTTAGTTCAAAATTTTCGTTCGTAATACTGTTTTAACTAATTGAAAACATGTGGATACGTATATATTTAGGCGCGGTGAATTGATATCATACTTGTATACCTGATGAACGTTATTTAGGCTTGATGTGACCTTTTTAGGGCACACAGTATTGTTAAAAACTCACTCCCAGGCAGTATTTTGGATGTTCTCTTCCAATCATAAACATCGTTCTTGTGTTGATTTCCTTGTATTCTGTCTGTAAATACGAAAGTTTTAGGTGATTAGATAAAAAGAGTCTGATACATCATGATAGAGACTCTGATTATGATTTTATAAGTAAATTAGCTAAATCTCCATTTGAATTGTCAGTGACTGATTTCTCTAGTTTTATTGAATCCAACATTATTCAGTTTCAGTTTCACAGTGCAGAACACAGCAAGTTGTGTCTTCAAGTATTATAGCCAATTACATTGGACCTTCTGCTTTTAATAACAATTTCATAAATGTTTTTGTGTTAGGATCTAGTCTTAAGACTTGATCTTTTTAGGAAGCTGGAAAAACACCGAGGATGTGTGAACACAGTGAGCTTCAATGAAGATGGAGATATTCTTGTGTCTGGTTCAGATGACAGGAGAGTTATACTTTGGGATTGGCAAACTGGGAATGTTAAACTCTCCTTTCATTCAGGCCATAATAACAATATATTACAAGCAAACATCATGCCAGGTACTGATGATAGAAGCATTGTTACTTGTGCTGCTGATGGCCAGGTATATTTAGTCTTCCTGCTTCTGATAGCATCTTTTATAACTTATAATGCACATTGTATATTACAATCATGGTGGGAAAATAATCAAATATATATTGATATTTGAGAATACATTTGGTTATAGGTAAGGAATGCTATGATCCCAGAAAATGGTGAAATCGAGCCAAAATTGCTTGGGAAACATCAAGGTAGAGCTCATAAACTAGCCAATGAACCCGGGAGCCCACACATCTTCTATACATGTGGCGAGGACGGATTGGTCCAACATGTAAGTAACATTTTCTCTTCACTTCTTGCTTCGAGGGATAAAAGACCATAATACCCTCGTTGTACACGTTCGATTTCTCATTATTGCTCTCATTCTTTAGTTTGATCTAAGATCCGGAGATGCCACCGAGCTTTTCACTTGCCAACCAATTCCCGATAGAAGCTTTGTAGGAGTCGTGAACCTAAATACCATAGCAATCGATCCACGAAACCCTAATTTATTCGCGATCGCGGGTTCCGATGAATACACGCGCTTATATGACATCCGTAAATACAAATGGGACGGTTCTACCCCTTTCGGTAAACCCACCGACTACTTTTGCCCGCGACATTTAATCAACGATGAAAACCTTGGAATCACCGGAATCGCGTTTTCCGATCAAAGCGAACTCCTCGTATCCTACTGCGACGACTTCATCTACCTTTTCTCAAAAGACATGGGTTTGGGCGGGGACATAAATGTAATTTTGGATAGTAGTAATTCGTCTGATTCCGAGATGGAAAGTGATGGGAAAGATGGGCCGAGGGTTTTTAAAGGGCATAGGAATTGTGTGACGGTGAAGGGTGTTGGGTTTTTTGGACCGAAATGTGAGTATGTGGTGAGTGGGTCGGATTGTGGGCGGATGTTTATTTGGAGGAAAAGTGATATGGTGTTGGTTAGGGTTTTGGAAGCAGATAAACAAGTGGTGAATTGTATTGAATCACATCCGTATATAAGTATGCTTGCGAGTAGTGGGATTGAACGCGATATAAAGATTTGGACACCGACCGCGGTTGAAAAAGCGAATTTTCCGACGAATGTTGAGAAGGTATGGTTACTTATTTTGAACTGTATAGCAACTTGGACTCAGACTGATGTCAATGAGACAAAATTGTACTTTGTCCCACCTAAAAAGGCCAGACAAGGACTACTTACCCAAAAAGGTGGGATACAAACTTACTTTTAGGGTTTAGGATTTAGGGTTTAGTCTTTTAAGTATTTTTTTGTAGTGGCCAACTCATTATACTTCTTTTTAAAATATCCGAGTTCTTTAAAATTGAAAAGTGCTTAAAAGCAAAATGTATGTTCACCATTTTATCGATTTAGGAAGTGAATTGTTATTTTTTGTTTGATTTAACAATTAAAATTTTTTATTAGAATAATCATAAAAGAAATAATAGTACTTCCAAAGTTGTCATTGTCCTAATATACATTAAAGTACTTGTTGTGCTTTCATCATTTTATCGATTTAGGCATTTATCTATTTTTGTAGTTATTAAATCTTTATACTTTTTTTTTACTCCTAAAAAAAGCCATTTTTCATGGTTAAAATATAAAAGAATAGCTATGAAATTCTTATGTATGTAATAATGTTTCATTTTCTTTTTTACCAATTTATGCAACAATGTTTCACCATTTAACCAATTTATCCAACAAGGCTTCACTTTTTTTTACCACTTTATTGTTTTTGAATAAGGTTTTTGAGTCACGTCGATTTCGTTTCTTTCCCGATTTCGCTGACGAATCCGATGACGAGTATTACTCCAACGACTATGTTGACGATAGCTCTAGCAACTATAGTGATTCTGATGACGTGGACGATGATTATGAGGATGATGATGATGAGGATGAAGATGATGACGAGGATGATGACGGTGGGGGTGGAGGTGATGAGGACGAAGAAGGTGGTGTCACTTTTGATTTTATCGATGAAGATAACACTTGCGAAGAGGATGATTCCGAATTGTTCGACAGTGTCGACACGGATGAATACGGGGATTCGATTGATGATTTTGGCGATGAGGAATAATAATGAAGGTGGTTGTGAAAAGGGTTGAATGCAAGAAACAACAAACCTACTTTTGTTGATTTGTTTATTATATAGCATCTTACTTCCTTTTCTTCCTATTACAACGTTTTACTTAAAAAAAACTACCCAATTATAGCGATGTCCTTGAAAATTGAAATACCGCTATAATTGGATAAGAAAAAAAAATTTGGAAGTACCATGCTATAATTTTTAAAATTTTCAAGTGGCAACACCTTAATAAGAAAAAAAAAATGGAAGTACGACGTTGCGGTAGAAAGAAATAAAAGTAGGATGCTATGATACAGAAATAAACGACAAAATATTGATGTTTCTTGCATCTAAGCCCATGTAAAAATGCACGTTGGGTGGTATTGTGGATATTGAATTTTGATTTTTTTTTTGTTTTGCGATTTTTTTTTAGTTGAGACCGAGGAACAGGTGGATGTATAGTACGGATTCACCAAGGGACATGATGTTGCGATTGCTTTCGATGGGGGTGGGTCCCGATTATGAGATGGGAAATGGTGAAAGCTCGGAAGTAGGCCGTAATCGTAACATGCTTGATTTTATACTAACATTTAATGCTGATAGTGGCTTTAATCGTGATCATGATGATGATGTTGATGGAGACAATTGAAGGTTTTGGTGGGTGGGTTTATAATGTTTTTGTTCGAAATACCAACGCAAATTGTACATAGAAAGTTGAAGGGACTCTTGGATAGATATCGGAGACCATAATTATATGATTTTGTTTATTTCATTTATTTTGGCCTTTCTCTCACATTTTATTTTTCTTTAATTAAGAATACTAGTTTAGTTTTATAGAAAAACTAAATCGGCCAAATAGACATCTTATGGACACCCTTTAACAAAAGTCTGAAGTCTTGGGCAGTTTGACAAAGGCGACTGGACTGGACTTGGGAGGTGTTTTTTTGCTGTTGGTACTAGTTGTGTATAATTAAGCTAAATATTGATAAAAAGCTATTGAAGTATAATTCAAATTTGGCAAATAATAACTTAAATGTTGCTCTCGAATAATCATCTCACGAGACACTAGTAAACTAGAGTACTTTTGAATTTGTAACATCAACCACTTTCGGATTTGTTTGATTATTGTTAATATCCAATACAATGGCAATTTAAATAATTTCATTTAGTTTCATGCTGACACAGCTCACTAAGAAAATATAGAAAAAAAAGGGAGATGATATATACAATTTTTAGGAAATACAAACTTAAATCGGTAAATAGAAACATCTTCATCTTCACATTAATTTACCTATTTCTCGGAACACTCAATCCCTAGGACATACCAAGACAAGCCCATCGGAGGTTTGTATGTGTGCCGCTCATCATTTTTATTTTAAAAGAAAAAATTGATGAATCTGTGAACATGCACATTGGCGATTCTAGACTGGTCTCGAAACGATACGGTCTTTTTTCGGATCAATCTTGGAGTGGTCTTGGGCCGGTCCTTTTCGGTCCGGTCTTAGTCTTTTCCGGTCATGTCTCGCGGTCTTTGTATGCGTCTTTTTCGGGGTTTTTTGGGTTTGGTGTTTTGGTTTCGATTTCGAGTTTTTCCGTTAACAAATGTGTGATTAACACCACAAGGATACGGTAAGATTTAATAAAAATGATACACTAAAATTTAATAAAAGAAAGATCTGGTCTTTTAATGGTCTCTGAACGGTCCGACTTTTTTTTTTGGATCAGTTTTGAAACACGATCCGTTCTTTTTTTCAAAATGTGTCTTTTTTCTCGTTCGATCTCAGTCTTTCTTCCGAGCTCAGTCTTCTTTTTAATGTCTTTTTTCCAGAACCAATTCGGTCCAGTCCTTTTCTCCAAGCCACCACACGACCCCCAACTCATAGTACTGTTCTTTTTTCCATTTCTAAGTGATCTGTCCATTTTTTAAATAATAGATTGTATATTTATAGGATCAAGTTTATTATTTCAAAAAATCTAACACTATTTTAATCAAAAAAAAAAAAAAAAAAAAAAATACAAACAAACGTAAGTCCAACCCACTAGATTGATCCAACAGCTTTAGCCTACTAACACCAATTAGCCCACATCCAAGAAATCACACAAAATGTTACTACAGCACAAACCAAACCAAGTAACTAATTCTTTAAAAACCATTTTCTCTCAACACATTTCAAGTAAGATCGACAATATTGAGAGTATATTTTATTAAAATTAATCACTTTATCCCTAAACCTGAAAATATTCGAAGGTTTTCATTCATCGTTTCTAAAATCAAATGAAAATCATTAAAGAAAATGAGAAATAATGGTCAATTTTATTTGACTCCTTGAAGGCTTTTGGAATAAACAAAAACTCAAATTTCATATGTCACACTTTCATTCATTTTTATGAATGTCATTTTGTGGTCATTTTAAATTAATTTTTTTCTACATGTCATTTTATGTTTTTTTTCTATGTTATTAAATTCCACATAGTATTTAATTGTAATAATTGCAATAAATCTAACAATAAATGTATATCAATTTCATTAAACGACTTACCTTTAAATTTCAAAAATTTTAAATTAAAGCCCCATTAGTTTCCTTTGTTCATTTATTTAAATTATTTGTTTAAATTTAAAAGAGAAAAAAACACTCCAATTTTAACAATTCAATATTTTCTCATTTTTCTTATAAATTCAAACTTGTCAAATATTTAGACCTTCATATTTATTTTTTTAGATAAACTCATGTAAAACATGAGTCTCACAACTAGAATACATTAAGATAAAAGAACACCAAAAAAGGAAGGAGGAACAAGAGTTTAAATACTAGAAAAAAACCTTGCATAAATGAAGGCAAAACACCTCAAACAAAACCAAAAAAGAACAACCACAAGCAAACCATATGAAAGAGAAAAAAAATCGACAATTTAGAAGTACCATACCATAAATGAGGATTAAACATTTGAAAAACTCCAAAACACTAAATGGGGAAAAATGTCTTTATAAAGACTCATTGATTGACCATCGCCAATTCCATAGAAAAGTTTTAATACCTAAAATTATGAAAAGCTTCCAAGTGCCTCTATCACCTGTCGAATGGGTTAGGAGTGGTAATGAAAGCGCAACTCCAGTGATCGAGCAAAAATCGTCAATTCCAATATGAAGGGTTTAGTACTGAAATGAATCCAATTACCTTCATAACCCATTGAACAAGTTAGGAATGCTAATGAAAAAGCAGTTCGATTGACCGAGGTAGAGCCATCAATTTCAATGTGAAAGTTTTCGGTATCCAAAATTGTGAAAAGGATCCAAAGGTAAATATAAGTACCTAAAATCATTAAAATATTCTAAATATCTTTGTTGAATAAGTTAGGAGTGTTAGAGTATAATGTTTATTATGTAGTTAGCCTATATTTGTATCCATTTGTATAGGCCAATTTGATATTATTTTCTTGTATATATTTGTATTGTAACATAATTTGTGAAATCCAAAAAGTCTTTGGCACAATATGATAATATGGTATTAGAGACAATTACCAAACTTTCCTAATTTTTCTCCTCTCTTCCCTTACTTTTCTTTCCCACTCACTCTCTCTTACTGGTGGCCTCCTTTCTACCCTAACCCTAAACCACCAAAGATTCTCCCGTCTTCCTCAACGATGGGTGATGCAAGACTTAATCTTATTCCTCACAAATCTTTTGTCGTTACCAACAACAAAGCTCACATATCTATCCTTCTCGAGTCTTGACCTTGATCACCATAATTGTTATATAAGGCGTGAATTCTTTTCCATTTATTTTGAAGCATATGATGTACTTGATCATATCGATGCAACATACGATGAACCCACTCCAAAACCCACCGAAGCCAAATAGAATAAAATAGATGTAGTGGTTCGAACATGTCTTTATATGGCACTTTCTCAAAACCTCATGAACACGGTTATTAAATCCATTGTTCCGACACGTCAAATATGGTTGAATATTGAGAAACTTTTTTGGGACAACAAAGACTCTCGTATCATGCAACTTGAGAGTGAAAGCCATTCCATCTCCATGGGTGATTTATCAGTTCATTCTTATGGCTCTAAGATCCAAAACACAACCGACCTCCTTGAAAACCTCGATATAACCTCAAAAATATCCGAAAAACACCTTGTCATCCATACCATTAATGGTCTCTATTAGCACTTTGAAAATATTGTCACCATGCTTTGCCATCGCAACCCGTTCCCCACGTTTTTAGAAACATAATCAATTCTTGCTTTGGAAGAAACCAACTTCAACCAATCATGGGCTCCAACCACCTCACTCACTCCGAGAACTCATCCTCCCCCGCCATTCTCCATACCTTGTCGGCAAACAACCCTCGCCGAAATGACCGCCGCGAGCCTCCCAAGGATCACCGAAAATAGCCTTGTCATAACAGCCAACAACAATAACCTTCCCGAACCGATTCTTATGCGTCATCAACAGCCCAACCATACATCTGGTCTTCTTCCCTCCGTTAGCCCAACTTCAATGAACCACCAAGCCTAACAGCTCTTAGTGGCCCATCATGAATCATCGACAACAACAAAGTTGCTTGATCCACCTCCACAACTACCACAAACCTACACCACAAATGTGGTTTTAGGTAATTTTTTAGGTCAATATTTGAGTGAGAAAATTTTAGAAAATTTATTGCCTCCTTAGGAATGGTTTAGGACTCAACAACCTACTTCTCGCCCACAAATGTTTTCTTCCAAGTCTATTCAAGAACATACATCAAATAAATGGATTATGGTCACGGGAGCAACCGACCATGTGTAACGTCCCAAAAATACCAAGTAAAAATTTCATTTAATTAAATCAAAACCATTCATTCATCTGTTCCAAGATACAATCATAGTAAAAGTATTCCCAAAACATCAGAGTAGATCGTAAACAGTCAATGCGAAATAAATCTCCAGGGGATGCAGTGCGATCAAGTCGGGCCCTTTCTTTTGAAACCGAAAGTACATGAAAACATTCAAACACAAAACCGTAAGCACAAAGCTTAGTGTACAATGAGTATAACGGGCCTCTCCCTAACTTGCATAACGGGCCCCGCCCAGTGAGTATAACGGGTCTCTCCCTAACTCGCATAACAGGCCCCGACCAATGTATATAGGATGTTGTTGTGTTGTAGTAATCTGTTAGATATGTATCCTGGTATATAGGATGTTGCTATGTTGTAGTGATCTGTTAGATCTGTATCCTAGTATATAGGATGTTGCTATGCGGTAGTGATCTGTAGATCTGTTTGTCTACCTGCACTTGCTGGTTATCATCTAGTGGAGTGCCCTAGGGACTGTATGTAGTCATGTAGGATAGTCTGAGAACTCTTGATCTAGGATTTCTTGCATGTTCCTCGTTTGGTTGTGGCTCTAGAGTAGGATCATCTGTTCGGGTGCCTATCTCACCTCTGGTTACGCATTTCATGGAGGTTAGCTGGTAGTGTGACAGTGTGCTATGAGAGGAATAGTAGACGGTGGTGAGTTATATGATTGTTGTTTGTCTGCATTATGTGCTTACTTGATCCTTGATTGTTTATATGTCGATATAAGGTGGTAGTGGGTTGAGGCGGTCTTGCTTTGTGCTGTAGGCCAAAATACCTGGTGCGGTTCAGCTGTAAGTCGTAGGCACGGAGGCGCGAGAAGAGCGGTTGGGTTGAGGCGGTAGACCAACAAACCCTAGGTATTATAGCCCGATGACTGATTGGACCCGTTGGATGTTGGCATTCT